TCAAACACAGACGAAAAGCCCTCCGACAAGGGAATCAGCATTTGCTCACTCCTCCGCACCTCTGTTTACGCTGTACATTGTATGCAGGTGCAACACGCCCCCCAAGCGAGCTAATCGCTAATAACTTGGCAGAGCATGTGTACGGCACGCACATGCAAGCAAACGCTCTCATCGAACCCATCAGCGCAGCGTGCGGCGCGGCTTTGCGCTCCGAAGGGAGACGCTGTGCATCGTCAGTACCATGCATGCCTGTACATGGTCTTCTGGTACACCAATCTCACCAACACTGTGGGCGCATTGCAACTGCAAGCAAGATTGTCCACAAAGAGGATACGCGCAAGACAATGGCGCAATTCCATGTGCCACACGCAAGGCGGTCGAAGCGCACGATAAAGCAACGAGTGTCAGTCTTTGGCGGAATCCTCACTGAATAGAAAAGCTGATTGGCCAAGAGCTCGATCCAAAAAGGAGACGCAAAACGTACTGGCGCGATTCCACGTGCTACATGCGCAGCCCTCGACGCACGACATGAGGTCACAAGCCTCAGTCTCCTATGACACCTTTTACAAAAATATTAATACAATAATCACAGCCTCCACTAACGGCATGTCGCCGTAGCACGAATGCACGGGACCAGACAGGACACTTAGGAGCCTAGGAAAAGCATTCCGAGTGCAGTTAATCAACTTCGCGCCTACGTCACACTCCGAATGAGCGACCATTTGATACTAGGAACTATTGATGACCTAGCGAGTCGCGCCAGCGCATCGTGCCAAAAAGCCCTCCCGTCACTCAGAAGACTGAAGCTTACGAGGCAAGGACTTCGCCCGCCTTCTGCCATATTGAGTTCGTGTTGTCCGGGCGATCCGTTAGGATTATGGCCCTTGATTGCAGTGTAGCAACGAACGCCAAGAAACCCAACAATCGTCGCGATCAGTACGGCGAGGCTTGAAATTGCAGGCAGCTTGCCAGGCCGGTGTCGCGATAAGGCCGAAACATCTTGGTGATCAGCTCGAGATGTTTCGCCTAAAGGGCTTGCAGTCTCTGCTCCAAGGAGGATGCCGGCCGTGTTGACAATTAAAATTAGGGAGTGTAGAGCGTGCATTTTTGACGTAATAATTATGGCGTTGAGACGCGTTTTTGTTACCCGTGAGGTTTCTAATGCTTTCACAGCAGAACTTTTGCTTGCGTCCGCCCTGTTTGCTTTCTGTGGCCAGCAACGGGCCGCCAGCACACACCCGTGGGAAACTCTTTGGAAAGGTCTATTAGAGCCAGTGTCAAGCTCTCAAAGTATATACACACCAGCTAGGAAAATTCGCGAAACGTTCAGCTGTAACGTGAACAGTCTGCCTCGTCGAGATTAGGGAGTTGTTTACAGCTGTCATCCATGCACTCCCCTACAGTGCTCTGCCGCATGCTCCAGGACTACTGATGGTAGTGTGCACAGGATCACACAAGAATTAGAGCAGCTGGAAGATATCTTTATTAAAAGAACAGTGAATGTTTTGCTGTTCCTTTTGGTATTCATTTACGTGGACATGAGACGGGCACAACACAATGTGGCAGCAGTTTAGGCAGCGGGCCGGCGGAACAGTAGCCCTGTGGCGAGCGGAGGAAAAGCTTCACCAAGTCACAACCGATTTGGACGAAAAATTTTATTTTGTCAGGCTAAGGCACATATGTGGCTATTCGTGTGTTGTTTCAATGGAAACAGATCTGCAGCACGCAAACGCACCTGGCAATTGCTCGTAATATTCACCAAATAATGAGCTAGCCGCTACCAGGGTGGCAGGCATTTCTTTGTGGAGGAGCTGCGCGCCAATAGATATTCAACGACAAACATAGGTGAACATGGCATTTCAACATTGTGTCAATGTTGATTTGAAAAGCTTTTGGGTTATTGCTTACACATTCGGGCTTTTGCGGCGGCTGAGCCAGACAGCCCCCTGAACCAGGGTGGATGTTTCCCTGAGATGCCAGAATTAGTTCAGCAGCAAGCAGACGGCTGAGGCTCACGAACACAGCACTTGGAATCTTGAAGTGCAGCGGTAGTGCAGCTCGATGGATTTGGTTGACAGAATGTGGCAAGAGCTGAATGAGTCAGGCACTAGCTGGAGTGCAGCACCGCCAGACTACAGACTGCAGCCATTCCCTGTCCAGTTTCCAGTTTCCAAAGGTCAAGAAAAATGAGCTTTCGCGAGAAAAGGCCATTAGCACTCACCAGATCTCTGCAGTTCCCTCACAAAAACCTGCAGATGGGCTCACTTCACACAAAGTGCTGGCGCCCCAGAGGAGGGCTTGGCTGCACAGCCGCCAGGTAGCACAACAGTCTAAAGTCTTGAGAGCTGGAAGTCTGTGTCCTGCACAGTGCAGCTGCAGGCAAATGTGCTGAATGAAGGGTCCAGCAGCAGCCGCAGGTACAACGCTCTTGCGGCGCTGAAGGGGCTCTTTATGGACGCCTCAGTGCCCAGCCTTTTTCACAAAAGAGCGTTTGCTTTGCTGCTTGACCCGCTGCTTCTGTGTCTTTCGGAGCCCGCTGAAAAGGCACGGCGCCTCGCAGCCAGTTCTACTTTTTCCTGCGAAGCAGCAGCAGTGGACGAAGCCCTGGGCGAAGTGCTGCGGGCGCTGACTGCCCGCTTGGGCTCCGAAGATATTGAAAGAGTGCCTCCAGTGATGCGCCCGGACCCTGAGTAGAAGCCCCTGCTGCTGACGCCCATAGGCAAGAGCGACGAAATACGGCAGAGTCCGTTCAAGTTGCTGCAGCTGTTGCCAAACATAAGTTCAGATGAAGCCGTTTTACTCCAGCTACTCTTGGCCGTAGGCCCGCTGCGGGCCAGAGCAATGGATGTGCGCCCTGAGGTGAAGTCTTTGGCTATGAAGGCCGTCGTTGAGCTTTGCAATCGGCACCAAGCATGCTGCTGCACTTCACTGAGCCGCTGGCGAGGTCACTTCTTTTCTGTGTTGTGCACCAGCACTCGCAAATCCTAATGAGAGCTCTTCGAGCACTCACACTGGTGCTTTCTTGTGGCTTGTAGAAGTACAACGGCGAAACCATTCACATGTTGGCTGGCTAGCGGGACTCCAACATAGTGCCGAACCAGAGTTTGTACGAAGTCACAGGGCCCCCAAAGCCACCAAAAAACAGGTAGCTGTTGTCTTTCTAGAAACCCAAAAAGAACAGGCGATCAGTGCACTCACACAGCTTTTCAAACTCTTTGAAATTGTCTGCCCCAGCACTCGTCAAGAGTGCCTTCGACAGTATGAGGCTCGAGGCCACTTCAGCCGCTGGGAGCTCTTTAAGTCGAATCTTTAAAGACATCAATGGCTCTCTTTCTGGAAATTAATGAGGCCTTTTGCAGTCACAAATTGAATTTGTTCCTTGAAACCCTCGAAAAGCCCTAGAAACTATGCAGTTTCGGCGCTTTAATCTGCTCGCATCATTCCTTTGGCTCTTAAAAAACCCGGCAAATGATTTTGAACTAAGAAGGTATTTCTGCTGCTAATTGGGGGATTTGCTCAAGCAGACAATATTAATGAGGTGAACTTTTTGCCCAGCTAGGTTGCATCCGCTCCGCAGACGTCAGAAGTGAATTTGAGTTGCTCTGGGGCTATACGCTCAAGGTTATTATTCAAAGCGTTAAAAGAAAGAATTTTCTTGATAAATTCACGCCATAATCCTTGGCGGTTTGGGCTGGAAAGGCTTAATGGCTTTAACAAGGTTGTTGCAACATTTTAAAATACTGGCTGCTGGCCACCTGAATACTGTAAACACTTTTTACCTGTGCTTCCCGACTCGCAGCAGATCTAGATCATTTTTGAGCACCTATGTCTTTCGATACCTGTAAAGCTGCTGCAGCCGTTTGGTGGCATTAAACTTTTTTGACAAGATTGCCCTAACGGGATCAGTGTAGAAGCCTGCGCAGAAAACAGTGCTGTGCATGCAGGCCTCACTCTCTGCCAATGCGAAGCAGTGCGGGCTGCCGGGGCGCCACTGCTTCCTGCTGCAGCAGTAAAAGCAAAATACTTTTGCAGCAAAACGCTAGCTAGCTAGCTCAGCCGAGTCCCGCGCTAACGCTGCGGAAAGCCTTCTGTGCTTGCTTCACTTTCATGGCTTGCAAGGAGGGCCTCTGGCGGCCTGAGAAATGCAAAAGGACTTGCCACCAGGCCACCAGAGACCTTTTTTGCATGCCACGAAGCTGAAGCAAACACGGAAGGTTTTTGCAAGTTGCCACTTGAATGTTGATTCAGAACTGAGCTTAGCCTTTGTTGCACACCATCTGCAAATAAGTGAAGAAGGAGTTTCAGAACGTTGTAGGAGCTAAGCTTTTGTGCTGAGAACAAAACATTTGGGGCTTCCCAAGCGGAAGAAATAAGATGCATTTCGTGGTTTCTGATAACAGGTATGCTTCAGTGTCTCAAAACATGCATGCAAATTGCAAACTTTAATCAATTTCAGAAGTTCAACAGCTGAGAGCGGCTTCTGGCTGCGACGCGAAATGCATTTAAAGCTAGCAGCAGCGCCGCAAAGGCGACCCGCTTTTCTTTCCAAAAGGAAAGCTGCTGCTGCTGCTGTTTATAAGGTGAAGCCCCGTTTGCAGGCAAGAACTCAAAGGACAAAAGATTGCTTGATAAGCTGAAACACGGTTTCTGAGTTGTTTTTCCATTTCGTGCGCATTTAGAGTTCAAAGGCGGCGTCTTTAGCTCTTGCGAAAAGAAGCAGCAAATGCTCTGAAGAAAACAATTTTTTCTAAGACAGGAATAATACTTTGCCTCAGTTGCTTTAAGCACTTTGTCTTGTTGCTCAGAATGCATGCACGCGTTTCTTTTGGAAAAGCCAAGAGCCCAGCGTCCTTATTTGCAGATTTTGGGCCTTTTCCGAACTCTTTCGCCGCGGTTTCTTGGCGTCGTGAGTTCCCTTTTGTCAGTCTTTTAATGAGTTATCAATTTAAACCTCTTCTCTCACTACTTTTTGGATTTGAATTCAATTTCAAGTTGTAGATTCAAAGTTCCTCCTTGGGGGCTGAAGCCGCGAGGAGGAAGTCGCCGATCATTTCCACTATGGGGGGCCCCATGTAGAGGCGCCTGCGGTCGAGGGCCTGGGGCCCCTCAGGGTATAGCACGATGGCGGGCAATTTGGACTTGAGGTCGAAGTCAATGAGATCATTAAGTTCTGCGTTGAGTTGGGCAAAGAGGAGGCGGCCGCGGAGCTGCTGCTGCTGGCTGAAGGCAGCAGCAACTTGCTTCCAGGCATCGAGGAAGAGATCGCAGCCAGGGCAGCGGGGCTCGTAGTAAAGAACTGCGAGGGGAGCCCTTGGTGCTCCATGCAGAGTCTGGAGGAACTGGTGGTGACTTAGCTCCTTCCCAAGTCCCCCCGGGCTCGTAGCGCTTAGCCGGTGAGACCTGAAGTGCAGCTCTCGAGTACCCCGGGCCCACTGCTCAAGAAAGGCCTCGAGGCTGTAGAAGCTAAGAGGCATGCCCAGGGAATACTGCGAAAAGGGAGGGGCCTCTCTTAAGACCCCAGAGGCCCGCTGGTAGGCCCAGGGGTTGGGCCTGGGGTCTTTGAGGACAGCCCCGCCCCAGGGGGTACTGAAGAGGACCTCGGCCCTGGCGGCCTCTTTGAGGCTCGTGCGGGCAATGTGGAAGGCCAGTTGGGATTTGTATTTCTCGTAAAACTCCATCAGAAGCTCCGCAATGTCTTGCAAGTTTTCAAAACGACTCACCTGTACAGACAGCAGCGCGCGGCGGCCCAGCAAAGGGCCCGTGGGCACCTCGCCCTAAAACACTTTTCTGTTTTCAGCCTCCAGCAGCAGCGCCAGCACTGCTCGCAGCTCCCACAGGGGTTTGGAGGAACTGAGAAAAGTTTCTTCGCCCAAGTCGAAGGGCAGCAGCTGTCTGTACACCCGGAGTTCTTCCTTCTCCGCCGCCTCCACAAACTGCACTTTGAACAAAGTCGACTTCGACGGCAGCTGCTGCCGCTGTTGCGCCAGCTGCGCCAGCAACAGCGCCCCCGCGCTTCACCGGTGGACCCGCGCGTGGACCACTGGTCCAATGGGCGAGGCCTGCAACTCCCGAGCCGCCTCCCGGGGCCTCGCCTCATCTTCTGCAGAAAACTCTGCTGCCCGGCCCTCCTCAGCCAACACCCAATACGCAATTTCTGCAGCAGCCACGTCGGGGCCTCCGTAGCTGCTGAACGGCTCGCTGCTACTGGCCCTGCCCCCAGGGTAGAGCCGCAGCACTGGGGCCTCCTTGGGGGTCCCCTGGGAGACCACCTGGGGGGCCTCCTTAGCTTCCAGCAACTCCCGAAACTCTGGAATCTTGCTCAGCGGCACTGCCACAACCCGCGTCAGGCTGCCCCAGTCCCGCAGCAGCTGCTGCGCCTTGCGGCTCTCCCGTAACGCCTCTTCAGACCGCAGGATCAGCAGCAAAAACAGCCAATAGGGGGCTTCCTAGGGGCCCAGTGTCCCCCAGGTCCTCCACAGAAAGAGTATCTAAGGGGGGAAGCTCTTCTTCTCTAAAGATTCCCCCTCGGGAGCCTGAGCCTTTTTGCAGGGGTCTCTGGCGTCCGGGCAGCTCCAGCTCGTCTAGCGGGTGCTGCACGGGAGCTCCTCTTTTTCCTCCTCCTCGAGGACTTGTAGCTTCAGCAGGGCAAATAAAGAAGTTTTGGGGAAAGGACAATATCAAATAAATGCACAAATACCCCAAAACATGCAGCAAGCGCACTCGCACTGCCCCCCGCCGCCGCCGTCAAGCCAGAAGCAGCTCCAGGCCGCAGCACCCAAGGAAACTCAGCAACATACTTAATTATCGCCAAAGTTTGTACTGCAGCTTTCTTCTACCTTTGATAAATGCAGTTATATTTCAAAGAACTGCGCATTAGGGGAACTTCGGCTGCTGAGAAATGCTGCTAAGACGGCCGTGAGACGCTATGGGGTTGGAGCAGCTAGAAGATTGAACAGAATAGAGCCTTCTAGATATCAGAGATGCAATAAGCAGCTGTTGTGCGATTTTTAAAGAATAATGTATATTAAAAACATTAATAAACGAAGTGAAAACATTCAAAACCGCAGGAGGAGCCTGCAGCCGCAGTGCAAGGCTGGGATGTCTGTAGTGAACAGCTGTCCGCACTGTTACTACGTAAAGTCCTAAGCGAGCCCGACTCGGCGGTCACTCGGCACTGTCGGTCGAAGGTACCTGACTTTAGTTGACAACTATGGAATACCTTATTTACCTCGTACAATTGAGTTCATATTATCATGAGGTGTGTAAACCCAAAATAATAGAACTGAAAGCTGACCTTCGCTGTGAGTCAGTGCCCGAGTCGCGTCGCGGCACCAACCTCGTGGTCAGCCTCGCACCCGGTGCGAGCTCTTTGTTCGCTCTTATGAATAA